GACTGCATGACCTCTGTCAGCGCTGACCCCACGTTGGCAAGAGAGCCCAAAATCGAATCGACAACTCGGACCAGCGATCGACATGAACCGGATCGGCGGAAATCGGCAGCCAAGTCGGGAAAAGTCGAATCGACTGACATCGGCATTCAGATATGCCTCCCATAAGAACTTGGAAACCAAATCGGAATCCCAAGACGGATCGAGTCGGCCTCGGAAGCCACCGTAAACGAATCGAATCGAATCGGAAGAATCGAAACGAGCCCTGCATTGGCTTACTCGAGCCTAAGACGGCCACTCGAGACGACTCAGGCATTCGGCGTTGGACAAATCTTCCTTTGGCAAACCTCCCCGTAGTGAAAACGGCCCAGGACCGAAAGCGACGGGCCTGGACCCCCAAAGATGACGGCCGCGACGCCCTCTCGCGAAGCGAAAACGGCCACTTCCCTCATCGACGTGTCAGGGTAGGAGGCCTATCAACCTCCAAGAGAAAGCGTTTCAAGGGCGCTTCCGTTGGGAACATTCGGCGACGCGTTTCGAACTGAGGGATGGCCCCCACCTAACCTGCGGCGCCGTCGATCAAAACCAAGGGCACCACCCTCCCCCCAAAACCCTCACCCTCTCCCAGGGGGGGGGGGAAATGGGGTGGACCCCCCCCCCCTGGCGCTGGCGCCGGCGGCCGCCAACAGGCGCCGACGGCGGGGACGCAACGACGATGACCAGAGGAAGTCCAGGAGGGGGGGGGGTTCAAACCCCCCCCTGGCGCCGAAGGGGGCGGGGGTTCAACCCCCCGCCCCCCTTGCGCCTTCGCCGGCGCTGGCGGCGGCCGGCAGCGCCGGCGCTGGCGCCGGCGACGGCGGGGACGCAGCGACGATAACCACCACTACCACCACCACCACTACCACCACCACCATCGCCTCAACCCACCACCACCACCACCACCAACCCACCACACGACCACCACCACCACAGCCACCACGACCACCACAACCACACCCACCACCGCAACTCACCATCACCACCACCACCACCACAAAAAATTATCCCGGCAAAGCAACCTAACAGCGCTGTGTAGAAGCATATCTGACAGCATTCCCCTTAAGATTCAGATGAAAATCCAGTTGTCGAATTCTGCTGTTCTCGCAGTCGTAGTCGCATTCGCGATGACAGTCGCAGCGGCAACGGCAGTCGCAGTCACAGCCTCAGCCTCAGCCTGCCTCAGCCTCAGCCTCAGCCTGCCTCAGCCTCAGCCTGCCTCAGCCTCAGCCTCAGCCTGCTTCAGCCTCAGCCTCAGTCTGCCTTCAGCCTCGGCCTCAGCCTCAGCCTGCCTCAGCCTCAGCCTGCATCAGCCTCAGCCTCAGCCTCAGCCTGCCTCAGCATCAGCCTGCTTCAGCCTCAGCCTCAGCCTGCCTCAGCCTCAGCCTCAGTCTGCTTCAGCCTCAGCCTCAGTCTGCCTTCAGCCTCGGCCTCAGCCTCAGCCTGCCTCAGCCTCAGCCTGCCTCGGCTGCAGCATCAGCCTGCCTCAGCATTCAAAATGTTGCCCAGGAATGGAGTTCTGGGAATTCGAAGAACACGAAGTGGCCTACAGTTGGCTCCGGGCATTCAAAATCATGCCCAGGAATGGAGTTCTGGGAACTCGAAGAGCACGAAGTGGCCTACAGTTGGCTCCGGGCATTCAAAATGTGGCCCGGGAATGTAGTTCTGGGAACTCGAAGAGCACGAAGTGGCCTACAGTTGGCTCCGGGCATTCAAAATGTGGCCCGGGAATGGAGTTCTGGGGACTCGAAGACCACGAAGTGGCCTACAGTTGGCTCCGGGCATTCAAAATGTGGCCCGGGAATGGAGTTCTGGGAAGTCGAAGAGCACGAAGTGGCCTACAGTTGGCTCCGGGCATTCAGAATGTGGCCCGGGAATGGAGTTCTGGGAGGTCGAAGAGCACGAAGTGTGTGACTGTTGGCTTAAAACGACTTCTGCGGCACCCTGTCCGGCACCCGCCCAGACCCCCCTGTGGAGTCATCTGCTGCTCTCTTTTGACCCACTAGAAACCTATCAGAACAAGCTGTTAGGTAATTATCCCGGCAAAGCAACCTAACAGCGATGTGTAGAAGCATATATGGAAACATTCCCCTTAAGATCCAGATGAGAATCCAGTTGTAGAATTCTCCTGTTCTCGCAGTCGCAGTCGCATTCGCGATGACAGTCGCAGTGGCAACGGCAGTCACAGTCACAGCCTCAGCCTCAGCCTGCCTCAGTATCAGCCTGCCTCAGCCTCAGCCTCAGCCTGCCTCAGCCTCAGCCTCAGCCTGCTTCAGCCTCAGCCTCAGCCACAGCCTGCCTTCAGCCTCGGCCTCAGCCTCAGCCTGCCTCAGCCTCAGCCTGCATCAGCCTCAGCCTCAGCCTCAGCCTCAGCCTCAGCCTGCCTCCGCATCAGCCTGCCTCAGCCTCAGCCTCAGCCTGCCTCAGCCTCAGCCTCAGCCTGCCTCAGCCTCAGCCTCAACCTTTTCCTCAGCATCAGCCTGCCTCAGCCTCAGCATCAGCCTGCCTCGGCCTCAGCCTCAGCCTGCTTCAGCCTCAGCCTCAGTCTGCCTTCAGCCTCGGCCTCAGCCTCAGCCAGCCTCAGCCTCAGCCTGCATCAGCCTCAGCCTCAGCCTCAGCCTGCCTCAGCCTCAGCCTGCCTCAGCCTCAGCCTCAGCCTCAGCCTCAGCCTGCTTCAGCCTCAGCCTCAGCCTTCAGCCTGCCTCAGCCTCAGCCTGCCTCAGCCTCAGCCTGCCTCAGCCTCAGCCTCAGCCTCAGCCACAGCCTGCCTCAGCCTCAGCCTCAGCCTGCCTCAGCGTCTGCCTCAGCCTGCCTCATCCTCAGCCTCAGCCTCAGCCTCAGCCTCAGCCTCAGCCTGCCTCAGCCTCAGCCTGCCTCAGCCTCAGCCTGCCTCAGCCTCAGCCTCAGTCTGCCTCAGTATCAGCTTGCCTAAGCCTCAGCCTCAGCCTGCCTCAGCCTCAGCCTCAGCCTGCTTCAGCTTCAGCCTCAACCTTAGCCTCAGCCTCAACCTTTTCCTCAGCCTCAGCCTCAGCCTGCATCAGCCTCAGCCTCAGCCTCAGCCTGCCTCAGCATCAGCCTGCCTCAGCGTCTGCCTCAGCCTGCCTCAGCCTCAGCCTCAGCCTCAACCTCAGCCTCAGCCTCAGCCTGCCTCAGCCTCAGCCTGCCTCAGCCTCAGCCTCAGCCTGCCTCAGCAGCAGCCTGCCTCAGCCTCAGTTGGCTACGGGCATTCAAAATGTGGCCCGGGAATGGAGTTCTGGGAACTCGAAGAGCACGAAGTGGCCTACAGTTGGCTCCGGGCATTCAAAATGTGGCCCGGGAATGGAGTTCTGGGAACTCGAAGAGCACGAAGTGGCCTACAGTTGGCTCCGGGCATTCAAAATGTGGCCCGGGAATGGAGTTCTGGGACTCGAAGACCACGAAGTGGCCTACAGTTGGCTCCGGGCATTCAAAATGTGGCCCGGGAATGGAGTTCTGGGAAGTCGAAGAGCACGAAGTGGCCTACAGTTGGCTCCGGGCATTCAGAATGTGGCCCGGGAATGGAGTTCTGGGAGGTCGAAGAGCACGAAGTGTGTGACTGTTGGCTTAAAACGACTTCTGCGGCACCCTGTCTGGCACCCGCCCAGACCCCCCTGTGGAGTCATCTGCTGCTCTCTTTTTAGCCCATTAGAAACCTATCAGTCTTCGCTGTTAGGTAAAAATGCTACCACCACCACCACAATCTACCACGCCACCGCCACCACCGCCACAACCACCACCACTACCAGCAGCACAACCCACCACCACCACCACAAACCACCACACCACCAACACCACCGCCACCACCACCACCACAAACAACAACAAATCACCACCTCCACAAACCACCGCCAACACCACAATCCACCACCACCACCACCACAAACAACCACAACACCACCACCAAACCACCACTAACACCACCACAACCCATCACCACCATCACCACCGCAACCACGAACCACCACCACACCACCAACACATACCACCACCACAACCCACCACCACACCACCACTACAAACCACCACCACACCACCACCACACCACCACCACAAACCATCACCACCACCTACCACCACAACCACCACCACCACAACAAACCACCACACCACCACCACAACCACCACCACCGCCACCACCACCACCACCGCCACCACCACCAACACAACCCACCACCACCACCACCACCACCACCACCACCACCACCACCAACACCGTCCTTGTCGACGCTCCCCGCCGCCGCCGCCCGCCGCCGCAGGCGCCGGCCCAAAAAAGGAAATCGTCGTCCCCGCCGCCGCCGCCGCCAGCCGAGGAGAGGGAGAGAGTAGGGGAGGAGGGGGGGGGTTCGAACCCCTCCCCTCCCTCCAGGGTGGGGGGGGGCTCAGTTCCAACCCCCCCCCTCCAAGCGACCACAAAACGCTTTCTTTCCAACCTCCGAGGCCTCCTAATGGGGCCTCTGTCGGCGAGCCGTGCTCCTTCGGGGTACCGATGCTCCGTATCCTCGGCGAGGCTCCCTGATCACTTGAGGCCTCCCAGATGGGGCCGGAATAGATGGGGTCGCCCCGCCGTCGGCGTCGGCGCCGTCGGCGTCAAGGAAAACGGGCTGCCCATCACGCCGCATCGCCGACGCATCGTCGATGCGTTCCGGTCCTCCGGCCCCATCTCTGACCTCATTTGGGAGACCTGGAACTACAGTCAACCCGTATAACAAGGACGCACGATCAGGATGCAAGGGCCTTGGAGGGCCATGCCGATATTTCGCAGGCGGGGAAGGATGGGCCGACGGGGAAGGATGCAAGGGTAGCCTTGGAAAGTTGCTCATCCCTACTATGCGGGTTGACTGTGTGTGAGTGTGCGCACATCCCTCGTCAACCCGACCTGCCGTCGCCTCCGATTGCCACGCGCCCCGAGAGAGAGAGAGAGAGCCGGCCCGGGCGGCGCCGCCCTGGGCCTTGAGCTGCTCGGCGCCGAGGGCCTGCCACGCAGCTCCGCGATCGGGGCCGAGGGCGTGGCCCAGGGCGCCCGCCTGCACGGGGTCTTGCAGTGCCTCGTCCTCCACGTCCTCCTCCCCCTCCTCGTCTTCCTGGTCCTCAGAATTCTTGTCCACCTCGTCCTCCTCGTCCGCGTCCTCCTCCTGCTCTTCGTCGTCCTCCTCCTCCTCCTCCTCGTCCTCGAAATCCTTGTCCTCTTCGTCCTCCTCGTCCTCGTCCTCGTCCTCGTCCTCCTCCTCCTCCTCCTCCTCGTCCTCCGCATCATCTGCATCCTCCACGTCTTCCACGGCCTCCGCGTCCTCCTCCTCCTCCTCCTCCTCCTCCTCCTCCTCCTCCTCCTCCTCCTCCTCCTCCTCGTGAGTCCAGCGCAGTGGCTCTCAAGCCTGGGCTGGGCAACCACGGGCGAACCCTACCCCTGCATGTCGGAGTTCAGCCAGACGCCGGCTGTGTGGCCCAGAATTCGAGCGGTGCTTGCAGCTGAATGAACCCCAGCGGGGGTGCCCGACAGTGCTCGATACCCCAGGGTCGATCGGCAAGCGGCCGCATGCGTCGCAGTGAGTCGCTCGGGGAGCTGCCGGCGGGTGGGCTCTGGCCCAGGGCCCAACCCCGCCCGGCTTCTCGCGCCGTTTGGGAGCCCCTGCGCCCCTCTCTGGGTTCTCTCCTCCTCCCTCCTCCTCCTTCTCACTTGCCCTCCTCCTCCTCCTCCTCCTCCTCCTCCTCGCACGTACTCCTCTGCAGGCCATCTGGGCCCCCCCTGGGGAGCCTAGGGGCACCTCTGCCCAGGGCCACCTCCGGCAACATCCGAATCGGGACGGCTGTTTTCTCGCAGACCTCAGCCTCCAGAAGCCGTTCCTGGGCCCCCGGGCCGCCAAAAACAAACTCACGGGGAACAGGGCCGAGAAAGGAGAGGGCCCGGGCCCGAGGCCCCAAAGCTGGCCCCATGGAAAGGGCCGAGATCCTCGGGGACCTGGGACCCAAGTCAGGGGGAAACATGCAGCCCAAGAGGACTCCAAGAGAGCCACACGGCTGCCCCAAGAGGCCCTCAAGACGGCCTCCGAAAGGGCCAGACAGCGCAAGAGCGGCCCAGGAAGGAGGGCCCAAGAGGCCCCAAAGAGGCCCCCGGGGCCGGTAGCACAGCGCGGCAGACGAGCAAGACAAACCACCCAACGCCACAATCTTTACGTACTCTGGACGTGAAGCCAGAGGAATATCAATGACGACGAGGACGCCCTCGAGCAGGCTTGGATACCAATTTACCCATTACCACCCAGGACGCTGCTGCGTGACAGCCCCCCGCGGGCATCTCTTAACCCGCATCCGAAATTAGCTCTCATTAGTTCTGAGGGTGGGGGGGGAGACGAATGTGTGGAGGGTGCGTACGTGGGGCCTGAGTGGATTGGGTCGGTGGATCGCACAACATTGCGGATGCATCAGTGAGCATGGGGGAAATCGTGTTCTGGCACCATAACTGGCGGCGGGCTCGAGGGCTGGAGGGGCGATCATGTGCGTCTCCGTGTCCCCTCTTCTCAGCCAAATGCCTAAACGTTTTTCAATACCGATGGGTTTGCGACTTGCATTACAGACCAGACCAATGTGCCGCAGAAGCGGGTTCACGATGGGATCTCGGCTGGCAAACTCATGGAGAAGGCTCTAGTCCTGGACGACTGGAAGCGCTCTCAAGCAAATTCGTGCGGAAGTTCGGGGGCGTCCAAGAGGGAGGGTCGTAACTCATGGCCCGAGACACGTGCACGGCCCAGGGGGGGTCAAAGGACGCATTGAGATAGGAGGAGGGGGCAGTGACATCTGGGAAGATACCATGGCTCCGGCCATGATGTCGTGCCCCCCCGTCCACCCCCTTCTTGGCCGCCCGAATTGCTCGCTGGTCCCACGTGTCAGACTGCCGTTCAACGGAAGCCATGCTCAGCCGAATGTAGAAACCTCGGTGGTGGGCTCCGCCCTGGGCCTCGCGCCGGGGCCCACCTTGAGTCAGATCGCCTGTCGACGGACGTCAGGCTCAGCCGAACGTGTAAACCTTGGCGGTGGGCTCCGCCCCGGGCTTGGCGCCAGGGCCCGCCCTGGCATCGGGCCTCAGGCTGCCCGCCCTGGAGGCGGGCCGCGTGTCGTCGATCGCGACGCTGCTCGCCGCCAGGCTGCTGGCCGACCCCTGGGCGGAGCCGGGACTGCGGGAGTCGCTGGCAACGGCCCGGGCCCACGGTGGTCCCAGCCTTCCGAGACCCGGAGGCCCCAAGGGCCCCAACATGGCGAACATGGGGAGACCAAACGGTACCGGTACCGCGACTCCCCGGACCTCTCCGGGGACGCGCGTTCTGACAAGGATTTCGAGGTGAATCCGGCGGTGGCGACGAGGGCCTCCCAGGAGGCCCGAAGGGTGGAAGTGTGGGTACCTCTTCCTCCTCTGAGAACCACAGCGAGACTGGGAGCACCTCGGGCAGGGACCACTGCTGGCAACGCCCGAGGCTTGGACCGCCGCCCGACGCACGACTGCCAGGGCTTGCCCCCGCGCTGCTCGCCGGGGCTCTCCGCGCGGGGCCACGCGCAGCAGAGCGCCGCAGCTGCCCCGGCGAGTGCGAGCGCCACCGCCACGGCGACCACCCACGCCCTGGGCGTGCCGAGCCTCCACCCGGGACCGGGGCCGGCATCCTCGGGGGGGACAGCGAGGCACCGATGACCGCTGCAGGGCCGGACCTCAGCGCTGTTTTCCGTGATGTGTTCGTTCTGTGTTTCGTTTCGCTCTCTGCCCGTTTTCCTGTACCTCCCTGCCAACACGAAAAACGAAGCACAGCCGAAGTCCGGCAATACAGCGCGTAAGTCCAACCCTGAACCGCTGCTTCCTGGGTGCAGTCTGACCCGGATCTCGAGGAACTTCCAGCCGTGGTGGCGAGAGCTCTCCACAGGACGAGCAGCGGTGTTGGCATCTCCTCCTCCAGTTCTTTTCCTTATCAATAACTTCTCCCTGTCGCACCCCGAGGCCCGTTTTTAGGGCGGGCCGAGCGTTTCGCTTGAGACTTCCTCACCATCTATGACACTGAAACTCAAACATTGGCAACAGCTTCACGGATTGAGGGCGGCCTGTATTCAAAATGTGGCTCTCGCCTTAGCGCCGCGTACATGCGTTTTAAAGCATTTGCAATAGTTTCGCTGACTGAAGGCGGCTCCTTTTCAAAACTTGGCTCGCGCCTTAGCGCCGCGCACACTCATTCTTTCACATGTGCCAGAGTTTCACTGATTCCCAAGACGCACCAGTCAAGTAGATCCGTGGCGTTGGAATCCCGAGAAAAATGTTTTGGCATGCTTCAGGGTTTTCAAACCGTTGTTTTCAAACGAGGCAGTTTCGTTGATGCCTCTTGGGTTTACACTGGTCCTCCTCCTCCTCCTGCTCCCTTCTGGTCCCTCCTCTGTGCTCCTCCCTCCTCCTCCTCCTCCTCCTCCTCCTCCTCCTCCTCCTCCTCCTCCTCATCCTCCTGCTCCTCCTCCTCCTCCTGCTCCTCCTTCTTCTCCTCCTCCTCCCTCCTCCTCCTCCTCCTCCTCCTCCCTCCTCCCTCCTCCCTCCTCCCTCCTCCTCCCTCCTCCCACATGCGGGGACCCCACGGGGCAGAGCTCGCCCACCCACTCCCACGACCAAAAAGGATCCTGTGCCCGCAGGTCCGCCGGCGCTCCCCTCCCCAGCCAGGCACCAACCCACCAATCAACCTCCCTCCTCCCTCCTGCCTCCTCCCTCCTCCCTCCTCCCCTCCTCCTGCCCCTCCTACCTGCGCCTCCTCTGCAGGCACCAACCGACCGGTCAACCTCCCTCCTCCCTCCCTCCTACCTCCTCCCTCCTCCCCCCCTCCTCCCCTCTTACCTTCGGGGGCGCGCAAACATGGATTAGCGATCCATGGATGTGGCGCGCGGTCGCCAAATCCATGGATCGGGGGGGGGGGGGGGCTCCCCAAAATGCGGCCGGTGCCGCCTCGCTCGGCGGCGGAAATCCGCGATTTCCCGTGGAAGCGGGACCCGTCGCTGATCCACGCCCCCTCCATCCATGTCTGCGATCGCCTGATACCTGCGCCCCCCCTCCCCCTGCATCCTGGAGCAGCACCGCCCCCATCTCGCGCCCCAGGCTGAGCCAGCGCTGCGCGTAGGGCTCGCCCGCGCCGCCGGCCGAGGGCCCGCCGACGTGCGCGGCCTGCCCCCGGGGGCGCCCCGCCTGCCCTCGCGGGCGGCCCCACCACACCGCGGTGGGCGCCCCGCCCCCGGCGGTGCTGCCCTCGGGCGTGCTGGCCGCGGCAGCGCCGCTGGCCCCGGCAGCGCGGGCCACAGTGCTGCTGTCTGTACCGGACGCGTTGGTCACGAGGCCGCCGCGGGCCTCGGCCGCGGCGGCCGTGCTCGCGAGGCCGCCCGCGCCCGTGCTGCTGCTCTGGGACGCACTGGTCCCGTCGCCGCCGTTCGTCTCGGTCGAGCTGGTCGCGCGGATCCGCCACCGTGCCGGCGGTGCGCTGGGGCATGTCACGCTGCACTTCTGCTGTCTGGTAAGTGCTCTCCAGGGCTGCCCCCCCCTCGCCGCTCACGGGGTTAGAAAACCACTCCCTCGAAAGTTGCTTTCCGGCGCTCTGTTTGACCCCAAGGATGCTCCTTGGCTACCAAGAGGGTCCAAGATGGCCTCAAGATGCCTCCAATCTGGCCCAAGGTCGAGGACAGCCCCAGATGGCCCCGAGACGACCCATTCAGTCCGATAGGGCTCCAAGACGCCCTCCAGGAGGGCCCGAAGAAGCCAAGGACATTGGGTTCCTTTTGGATCTCCAATGGCTGTTGCGTTCCCACATCTCTGGGCTTCCGACAGCCCGCGGTGGCCCAGGAGGCCTTCACACGAGGCAAGAAGGCCCCTAGACGGCCCAAGAGGCTCCTAAGGATCGAAAGCGCACCAAGAGTCTCCCAACACAGCCTCCGAAGGCGTCAGACGGGAGAGCCCCAAGACGGCGGACGCCCCCGTTTAGCCTAAGAGTGCTCCAAAAAGCCTTCATGAGGGAGGAAGCTAAAATCATTGATTTCTGCTTGTTTTCCTAATCTTTTCGCGTTCCTGCCATGCCGGGCGTCCGACAGCCAAGACGGGGCAAGAAGGCTCCCAGACGGCCCAATAGGCCGCCAAGACGGACCCAAGAGGGTCTCAAGACGGCCCAAAAGACTTCCAAGATGGCCCGAAAGCGCACCGAGAGGGCCCAAGACGGACCAGAGAGGCCCCCAAGGCGGACTCCGAGGGCGCCAGATCCAACGAGATCCAACGAGGCCCCCGAGAAGCCTCCAAGAGTCGAGGGAATGAGGTGGAGTTGAGACCCTCTCGAGTTCAGGCCTCGCGCCAAACTGCTGTGGGTATTTTTTTAACTCAACCTGCTCCAAACTGAGCTGCTGCGCTGGCACGGTGGCGGGGCTTGCCGCAAGCAGCCGGATAATGCTGCCCTGACCCGTGCTGCTCCCAGGCGTGCGTGGCACAGTGTTGCCGCCAGTCGTGGCAAGGCTAGGCACGCTCGCGCTGTTGTTGTCGCGCGTGCTGCCCCACACCGCGAGATGCGACGACGCGTCGCCAGATAGTGCCGCGGCGTGCCTACCTGGTAGGAGCGCCAACCCGCCTGCGATTATGCAAAGAGAAGGAAGTATTGCCATCGATAGGTTCAGTTGTGTGTTCATCTCACATACGTACACTGACCAATGTTTAGATCATAAACGGTCAGTATAAAACGTAAACGGCTTGAGCCAAAAAATCAACCGGGGATGAAAGTAAGATGAGCAGGAGGTGAGAGATGAACAACGGGAAGAAGTGTGAACATGTTGCTGATCGGCGCAAGCGGGCCCCGTCAAACTGCCTTCCTGCGCCGCCCCCCCCCACCCCGTGAAGACCTTGGAGGCTGTCTGAAAACGATTGGAAGCGCTTGGAGATTCCTGAGGGCACTCCGCAATCAGGGTTCTGTTCTCTGCAAGCCTCTGGAGGTGCGAGGATGACCTGGGCGGCGGCGGAGCTCTGCAGGTACACTAGTCTCTGGCTGCTAGCATGTCTGGGATGTTGCGGATCAGCTCAATTGCGTAGAGTAAGCTAGATATACATATATGAGACATGTGTGTATATACATAGTACATACCTGCAAGTATGTATGTGTGCATGCGTGGATTTATGCATGTATAGATATGTATGTCTGAATGTCTGTCTGTCTGTCTGCCTGCCTGCCTGTCTGTCTGTCTGTCTGTCTGTCTGTCTGTCTGTCTGTATGTATGTATGTATGTATGTATGTATGTATGTATGAACATATGTATGTACACATGTGTATATATATATATAGCGGTGCATTCGCACGTGGGGGGGGGCTCGAGCGCGCCACGGCGAACCCAGCTCGGAGGTCTCCCTGAGGCCAGGCCGCGACCTGTGGACCCAGAACTCCGACGTCGTGATTCCTCGATCGATTACGCTTCGCCTCAAGACTTCTTACTGGGTTTGGAGGGTCGGTGGGAGCCTGGGCCTGCGCCGGCCAGCCTTCCTCGGGTTCCTTGGCCTTTTGTTCCTCGGTTCTGTGTCCTTGGTGGTTAGTTGCTGTCCTACTTGGGTTCCTTGGTCCTGGTTCCTTGGCCCTGGTTCTTTGCTGCGTTGCTCAAGTTCCTTGGTCATTTTTCGTGCTGCGTTTCTCGGGTTCATTCGGTTCCTTGGTTCGGTCGTTGGTCTTGGCTCCTTGCTATGTGTCTCGGGTTCCTTTCTGCTTTCCCCGGGCTCATTGGTCTCAATTCCTTGCAATACTTCCTTGCAATGCCAAGCAACTCCAAGGCGCTGGCCGGGTTCCGTACAAGGCCTTGTGCAGGATGCCATGGTTTCTTCCTAGCAAACATGTCAACTCAGATGTGACACGCTGATGTCTGATTGCTGAACCTATAACAGAATTTCTGGGTTGCACGAGCTGCCCGGACTCTCCAGTCGTACGCAACGCGGAGCAACGCCAAGCACCGCAAAGCAGCACCACACAACACCAAGCAAGGCCAAGCAAGGCCAAGCAAGGCCAAGCAAAGCTGGGCAGTGCCAAGCAACGCCAAATAACGAAAAGCAGCGCCAAGCATTGGCAGGCAACGCCGAGCAATGCAACACGATGTCAGGCTATGCGCACATGCATTAAGAATATGTCCCCTAATTGGGGTCGCGCTGGGTTCATGTTTCAATCTGGGGCCCAAGAACTCTCGACCCCTTCCCTGGTACCAGTCTCTAGCTCCTGGACCTTGTATGTGCCCCAAGGCGGCCCCCTGAGGCCGAGATCAAGGGAAAACTGCGGGGTCGAACAGCAAAAGCACGACGCCAGACGTCTGGGCAGGCCCCCTGGGAGGTTCTTGTCTCCGCCGGGGGGGGGGGGCCGTATGGAAGCCTCTGGGGGGCCTGAGATGCGGCCGTCTCTGAGGGGGGGGGCGCCTGGACCCCGCCCCCAGAGACGACAAAGAAAGCGCCGATAATTTAGGGACCGTCCCTGCAAGACCGTGGACCAGAGTGCCAGAATGCTGAAGCTCTGGTGTCAAAGAAGGCCCTTGCTCGTGCAGGAGCACTGCAGCTCGGCGTCAGCTCCCTGCGAGAGATACAGTCCGCAGAGGGCCCCGAACCTGGCAGCTTGACGAATCTTCGGGTGGGGGGGCCCAAGCAAGGGCCGTGACTGCACACATGAGCTCGGCGTCTCTGCCTGGCATAGCAGGACACCGCCCAGACCGAGACAACTTCAAGCCACGGTGCTTGAAAGGACCACCATCCAAGAGCGAGTGTCCCCGGCGCCCGAGGTCGGGGAAGACGGCAGAGAGGTCGGAGCTCCCAGGCAACACAACCTCACCCGCGGTCCAATCCACACGCGCCACTCCGTCGGAGGACGGCCCGGGCAACAGATATCCAGGACGCTGGGAAAGGCCGCGTGCGTCTGCAGAGCGCACCTATGGTATTCATCGTTAGCGAGAAGGGCGAGCGCAATGATATCCTCGGGCGCAGCCTGCCTACGCATGTCTCCGCTGCGCTGCCATAGCCTGAGCCACAACGTGTTCGCCTGCTTGCCGCACATCTGACAAACTGGCAAGTCGTAGCCCGCATTGGGGGCGGCAGCAGGACCAGTCCATGTAGAGTTGCGAGCCAGGGCCCTCGTGGGGCGCATCATTGTGACACATTTTGGGGGGACCTCAACTTAGCTCTCACCGTATCTCAACAGATCCTGTGCAGACCCTCAAGCTTGACCCCCGACACCCTCTCCCGACCCCGGCAGGCAGCCACCGTGCCCAGCTGGCCCACCACACGGTCCAAACGGTGGAAGAGCGCCAGGAGGTTGGGGAGATGTCCGCGGTCATCCACGCACACACACACACACACACACACACACACACACACGCAAACAGATTACATGGTCCAACCAAACGCAATGTGAACGCGCCAGGGTGGGCCTCCTTCGAAAACAGCATATCCCCTGCGAGCGGAAAGCGTGCAACTCCGAACCACTGACATCGAACAATTCAGCTTCGTAAGTGCCATTCGCCATGGAGGACCAAAAGTGTTCCTTGTCATCCTCCTCCTCCTCCTTTCCCTCGTTCTCCGATCCTCCTCCTCCTCCTCTTCCTCCTGCTCCCCCCCATGCTCATACTCCTGTGTATGTTTCTCCTCCTCCTCCATACGTAACCCTTTTCATTATAAGATGCTCCTCCCTGTCGCGCCCCCAGACGCGTCGGTAGGACGGGCCGGGCGTGTCGCCTGAAACTTCCCGCGAGCAGCCAATGCGCCTGAAGCTTGAAATGTTTGCAAGAGCTTGGCCGATGGAGGGCGAGTTGTTCTCAACATGGGGGTTTCGCCATCAGCACCGCGCGCGCTCGTCTTACAGCGGCGAAGCTGGTAACACTAAGGGCTGGAAACACAACGGACAGAGTGGTTAGAGTAGAGGAAATCGCGCTCGCTCGGGCCTGCGAACATAAAAACAAAGGGAGCCCGCGCCCCAAACGCAAAAACATAGAGACCTCATGGTAGCCCAAAAAAGCCCCCAACCGACCCGACGGCGATCTCCGCGCAAGAAAAAGCGAACCGCAACGAAGGCGGATGGGGCTGGCCCAACACATGGAAAAACATAGGCGTCGAACCAATCCTGCGGGGCTCCGCCCTGGCCGATGGCCAAAAACACAAAGGGCTGCCCAAAAGCAACAAAAAACGCAAGGCGCCGAGTGACCCACCCACTCGGGTGACCCACCCACCCAGGTGACCAACCCACCCGGGTGACCCACCCACCTGGTTTCGCGGCGTTGTACACGCTTTCGTATACAGCGCCACGGTTTCAAATCGAAAAACGAGTGGTGACAACCCAGTGTAAACATGCACCCTCTGGGTGTAAGAGCCGACCACATGAACGATGCATACGTACAAACACATACAATCGTCATTGCGTCGGCACACACTGGTGACCCGCCCACTCGGGTGGCCCACCGACTCGGGTGACCCACCCACCCGTGTGACCAAACCACCTGGGTGATCCCGTTGCGTTGTATACGTTTTCGTATACAGCGCCACGGTTTTGAATCGAAAAACG